CAAAAGAGAGAAGAATGTTTTTAAGAATTACTTACCTGTCTATATCCATAAAATATCGTTTATAATATTATCAAAAGAGAGAAGAATGTTTTCAAGAATTATTTACCTGTCTATATCCATCGGCGAAATTGTTCTTGTAATATCTTGTCAGAGAATTTAAACCGTCTTTCATTGCACCCAATTTAGTACGCTTTCCAGTTCGCGTAAAGTCAGTTTTCAATGCTCCTGTACCCGAATATTGGATGCTTATTACATCTGCGTTATCCGCCCAAATCTAAAAATATTAATAAACAATTTTTTTAATCAATAAAACTATTTTTATTATTAAAAAATCATTTTTTCAGACTTGTCAGACTATCTCATTTTTATTATTATTTAATATTATAATTATTATTTATGTACGTATTATAAGACTACTCCTTGATTTTGTTTAATATTAAAAATTTAGAAAAAATTATATGAAAAGTTTTATTTGAAAAAATAAAATACCTGTTTGAAAAGATTTTCAAATGCAGGATGATCTTCCACCTTTCTAAGTATCTCTAGCCTGCTCAATACTTCGTTAAGAACTCGCTTCGCCAGCATGCTTTGTACAACATTTGTTCGGTCTAAACAGTCGATACAATTTGTACGGAAAACACCATCCTGAGCCGAAAATAATGCTCCGTCCCTCATCAATAAGAAATACCCCATCTGTTCTTGATCATGTGTTAATCGGTCCATTAAAGTGTTCAATTTGTCCCATCTCAGTCTTCTGCATTCCGCATGAAAATCAAAAGCCTCATATCGAATATTTTGATTGTTAATTCTTTGCACTAAATTACGATATGCGTTTTCTAGCAATGCTTCTGGTCCACATTGATCAATCTGTTCAAAATACTGGTATGTTTATAAATATAACAATAACAGTTTTTTTTTCTATGAAATAAAAAATTTCTAAGCCAATCTCTGCAGATAGTACGAATAAATATAATTCACGAAAAAGCTTTTTTCATAATTATTTTAATTTTATAGTATCTAAATATCATAAATATACAAATGTAAAAAGAAAATTTACCAAATTCACTAAAATTTGTTTTCCATAATGAAAGATTTGGACATCAAAGTGACGAGCACAAGCGCTTTGATGATCCTCGTGTGGACTAATCTGTGGTTTTGGCTTGTATTTCAAGTTTGGTGCTTGATACCAAAACAGAGGAATGGATCCACGCGTTTGCACGAAGGAACTGCAATTGCCATTTACCTCGATCAGTTGCTCTGTCTCTACATAATTGGATACATTTCCAGTGGCATCTATACCACGTGAAAATAATCTTGATCCAGCACGATGTATACCACGTCTAGAGACAATACCCCAATTGAATGCAACGCCATTCACAACCACTGTGTTCAGTGAGATGACTATATAATCAATTGTTAAGGGGGCTCATTACAGAAAAATATAAACACTTAAAAATTTTAATGATACAACATTATTGAAGGATACAGCCATGAATGATAGGTAAACAAAATTTGTATTGCTCTGGTCTTGCACTTAGGTCCTGCAGAAGATACGCATTCCATACGAACCTGGGATCTGCTCTGTCATGAAGTGGCATCTAAATAATGACATGTCCTTTACCATAAAACTGCTTACAACACTGTCTAAAGTAGCAATCAAAACATATTTACTTGCAAAAATTCAGGTGTTGTGTTATGCAACCTCTGCATAGTATGACTGAGGTCATAGGTATAACTGAAGTAAAAGTATGGTGTGTTTAAGACAGATTTTATCATCTCCAGGTATGTAGAATTATTTTGGACCTGTTTCTCAGTCAAATGCAAAAAGGATCTAGTATAAGGTATCACATCTGTTGAAGATATTTTAAAGATGTTATGCCCAGCTATAGTCCCACACATCTGAGCATCCGTAACAACAATAAGGTAACGACATGCCAAGAGATGTATAGTTCCTACCAGTCCCCATATTTTTCTACGACTGGCAGTTGTTGGAATCTGATTAGCAGTGCCGACTAAAAAAGGAAACAAAAATCATCAACTTTAATTTAATTCTAACACATAAAATTGTCTATTAATTACCTTGAGTATAGATCTGCTGACTCACTCTATCGACTACTAGCAGGACCTTAGTTCCGACTGATTCTACGAAAAACTTCTCTGGAGTAGCATATCTTGGCAAAAATAAAATTGATAATTAAAGGGAGCAATAAAATTGGTAGCACACATAATTTTTCCACATATGTATTTTACAAAATAAAATGCATTCTATGCAAATGTATTCTCTTTATAATCTACTCACAAGTATAAACTGTCATATATATCCATATTTGGCATCATATTGTCAAATGATGAATAGATCGGAGGCAAGTAGATACGCTGAGCAGAAAGACGAGCAAGCGAGAAAATAATAATAAAATAACGCTTAGGAAAAATAAATTACTATCTTCTGGTGAAACACAATCCATACATACACATGGTAAATTATTATTATACAGTATTTAGTCCTTTGCACCTCAATCAATAAAATTAGGCTTTTTCGACACGTTTTTGCATAAAACAAAAGAATTTGGTACAAAAAAGGATAAAGGTTGAGAATATCTTGATCACCACAAATTTTGATAAAAATATACTTAATTGATTCGTTTTCGCGTAAAGATTAAGATTTGACGAGAAAAGAATGTTCTGCCTTGTGAACCGAAATACAAATCATTAAAGTTGATGATTATGCAGGTTAGGAAATCTGTCACATCCACGAAACACTACAATCATGAAGACTAGAATCACAGATTATCAAAAATTAGAAGGAAACTTATAGCACAGTATAAGTACATATAATATGGACACTGAGCGTCAGCACCTTTGATATAGTGGATTCTAGGTCTTGACTTGCCGCCATGTTATGAATTGGAAAGGCGCTTATAAATTTGAATTTTTATAAAGCTACAGAATGATTTTTCTAAAAAAAAAAAAGAAATAATTCGATCATGAAAATTGTTTATAGCATATATATTTTTCAATCAGAATTATATAATAATATAATGTTAACGAATTCATTATATAAAAATAATATTCACATTAATAATAATAATAATATTAAACAGTAATAAGTAAATTAAAAATAATAATAATTGATTAAATATCTTATGAAAATTGTAATTGAATAATTATATGAAAAAATAATATATTGCATGAAAATTGTAATTAAATGTGAATTGTAATTTAATAATATACGTATACACACACGCACGCACGCAAATAAAAATAAAGTATGCATTTATGTGTGTGTTTGTCTGTGTGTGCGTGCGTGCGTGCGTGCGTGTGTGTGTGTGTACGTGTATTATTATTTTAAAAATATATACGCTATAAACAATTTTTACGAATTATCTATTATCTTTCTTTTTTAGAAAAATCATTCTGTAGCTTTATAAAAATTCAAATTTATAAGCGCCTTTCCAACTTACAACATGGCGGCGAATCATGTGACCTGAGATCCACTACATCAAAAGTGCCGACGTTCAGTGTCCATACTGTATGTACTTATACTGTGCTTATGTCTTAACTCTTATTAGAGGAACTCTAACATACGTGTATTACGGGCGCCGCCAAGTAAGCGGTGTAATATGTAATACCGCCGCGAAATGGATTCGTTTTTCATAAAGAGAAAATGACGCGGATAATCTATAAAGAGACGTATATAAATGGAATTCGTCACTTACTTTTAGATTGATGATTAGTGTTCATGGATTGTCATAGGGCCTTTGAAAGTGTTTTTATTTAGTTATTCATAGTTAATTTCTGTCACGCATACTTATTTCATGTATTTTGTATCATACCGAGATACGGATATACTCTTATAAAAAAATATTGCGCAGTAGTGTTCAGTAGTATTTTTGTACAAGGTTTTAACATAAAAAATAATGTTAGTACGTTATCCACTGGATAAAAATAGGATGAAATGAATAAAAAATTTCTGGTTATCCAGAAATTCTAATAATATCTAAATGTCCTATGGATGTAGAATAAGCAGGTGTATAAACATCCTAAATATTTCCTAAGTGTATCTTAAATAGCTCCTAAGTTTTTCAAATACGTACTCTAAATGTTTGAAAACCCTTCGACATACATCTGCGAGCAAAGAGATATTTCTTTGAAATTAAGATTTTTTTTTTTCAGTGTAGTTCGGTTTCCAGGATACCTATGGAATAAAAGTACCGTTTCATGTATATAAAATCGGAACGATGGAACGAATTTCTTACTAGAAATGAGTTCACTAGCATTTTGTTTCGCAAGAAGTTCTCTACTGTATCGGAATTACCAGAATCATGGCTGAAATGATATAGAAACGACACGGAATCAACGGAATGTCATGTCGATTGCATGTTGATTTGCTATGTCGATCCGGTTATTGTTGATAATTGAGAATTTAACAACTTCGAAGAAGAAAATTTATAATTCTTATTTTTCAATACGACATATTCTTGTTTTACATATATGTAGTTCAACGAATGCTAGCAATTCGTCAAATAATTTCGATATCATTCTGAAGTAATTGAAGAACTTCTCACGATCGGTCGTTTGCATTTCAACAGCTAAATTGTCACTTGGAGATGCCTAATTTTTTATGTAAATATTGACTGTATCTAAAATTTTTGTTTTCTTGTATATTTCTGTTGTTGCAATAAAACATTATAAGCGAAATAAAATTTTCTATTTTTTACTCTACTATTTATAATATTGCTTTTTAATATTTATTTTGTGTTTAATCTTATCTTTTGTATTTTTTAAAGTGTATTACAAGGAACGTTGTACTAATAAATAATACATTCAAATTTACCACGAAACGATAATGTAACTTGATAACAATTCTCATTGGTCACTCGACTGTCACGTGATTACATCTTGCGCATAGGCATACTTTTGTCTTTATATCATGGATATCCCTACCCTCGTATTTTATTAATACGCACATACATATATGCTGACAATCGTTGGATAATCACTCAAACAGTTAGCTGTCTGTTAAAGGAATAGATGGACAGGCTGATTGACTGATTTTCAGTTCGCCCGTTATCGACGAGGACCTACGAAAAAAATCGATTGTTGTTTGGTGAAATTATCGACTTGTATCTACTTACCTTGAATTAATTTATTTCAACATATTTGTGATGCCGAAGACACATTCATCCATTGTTTTCTCTTTAATCGTGATATTTTCTACTTGTTGTTTGGCTGTCAATCAGACTTTTGTGAATACAATGAAAACAAAACTTAAAATACTTGGTGTCTTCGGTCATCCTGGCAAGAGTCATTTTGACGTATTCAAGCCGCTTCTGGAGGAATTAGCTCGAAGAGGTCACGAGCTCACTGTGATCTCGTATTTTCCTAGGACTGATAATGCCAAGGTGAAAGAGCCACTGCCCAATTATAAAGATGTCAGTCTGGTGATTTCCAAAGACGGCATCTTTGTAAATGTTGTAGATCTTCAACAGATCAACCACGGATGGTTTCGTCCCATGCTGGATCTCTACATGTTGAGGATTATGGCAGATTACGCGTGCAATACCGGTTTGCGAAATTCGAATGTCAAAAAGTTTCTTCAATCCGACGAAAAATTTGATTTAATTCTCACAGAAAATTTCAACACCGATTGTTTTTTGGGTTTTATTCATCGTTTTAAGGCGCCATATATGGCCTTATCATCACATCAAATCATGCCATGGACTAACAGTGACATGGCTAATACTGATAATCCTAGTTACATCCCGATTATAATACTTGGATTAACTAAACCTCTAGATTTTTTCAGTCGAATAAAAAATGCATTATGGCTGTTATTGTCTAAAGCGATTTATGAATATTATTTCCGATCTGTCGATCAAATTGTCGCCAATGAAGTCTTCGGTCCGGATCTTCCCAAGTTGAAAGAAATCGCCCTGCAATCGCAAGCGTTATTGGTGAATACTCATAGTAGTATTCATGGCAGTAGGCCTCAGCTGCCGAATGTGATAGAAATTGGTGGACTTCACATTCCATCCAAAGTCAATCCGCTACCGAAGGACGTAGCTGAATTTCTTGACAGCGCCCATGAGGGAGTGCTATATTTCAATTTAGGCTCTATGATCAAGATGTCATCGATACCACAGGAAAAGTTGAATGCTATATTAAAGGTGATTGGTTCTATACCGCGGAAAGTGATTTGGAAGTGGGAGACTGATGAACTACCGCGCAAGCTGGACAACGTTATGGCCAGACAGTGGCTGCCTCAGTTCGACATAATGAGTAAGTGAAAGAATGTTCCCTTTTTTTTTTATGGAACAGTATGTTCAAGGTCGAATCCTTGTATTAGACATCTATTTAACTTTAAGTTAATCTGAAAGCACAAAAAGAATGATTATAAACGATTAACTAGTACGGTGAGGAGAAAAATGAAATTATTCTTTTTTGAAGGTCTTAATAATTTCACATAAAAATATTTTTTATTTCTTCTTAATTCCTTCAAACCCTGCATATATTGTGCTATACATCAAATTTGAAGACGTTATTTGTTGAAATTAAAAAATTTTTTTATTATTAAATTTTTTAATTATTAAAATTATAAAATTATAAAATTATTTAATTATCGACATTTTCTAAGATCTAATGTACACGCGCTGGCAGGAATGGTATCCTGGCGTTCGGCGCTACATACTTATATCGAAACCGAAGCGCACACGTACATATTACTGGAAACGCGGAGAAGGCGAGGAGCGCGAAGGGAGAAAGTAGTGGGGAGGGGAGGGGGGGGGCGCTTCAATATTCTGTCCTTAGCGCAAGGCGCACGATTGAGAGAGAAAGCGTAATTGGATGTGATGCCGGCTTCCAGTGCTCTTTCGCTGTCTCACACTTTATTACTAGTACGAGATACTCCTCTCGTTCGCCAATATTCATAATAATACTTTTATTATGCATAAAATGTTGTAATTATATATATGCATAAAAATTGTTAATATTGTAAAAAATTTGTGTACATAATATTACAACATTACGTGTAATTTTAAGTTGTAATAGCTTTGCATGCATTTATAAATTTGCAGTGTTCAAATGAAATTAATATTTTCTATCGCAAGATTGCAAAATTAAATTTACAGTTAATATAAGAACATATAATAAAATAAATAAAAAAAATATGATATAATGTAATGCCGGGCGCCGAACGCTAGGGGACACCATTCCTGTCGGTGCATGTATATAGTAGATGATAATGTATATTTTGGACAAATAGACAAAATTTTGAAAAAAATTGTTTAGTATAAATTACTTACTGAAGTGCGCATAAATTAAATTTAAAAAATTTTTTAACATAATAAAATCAGGTCTGAAGAAATTAAAGAAAGTAGTAAAAGTTTACATTACATATTTTAATAATCTGTTGCAGGGCCCGGCACGATATTTGCGCTTCTCGATCTTCCATTTTATATAATTCGCATTATTTTTTATTTTTTATTTATTATAATACTCTTCAATTAAATTTGAATAAATAAATCGCATATTATGCAATAGATTTGCACTTCTCAGCCGATTCTCGACTCGGCTCCATTTTCCACTAAGTAAGTAGGTCCTCTCGCATACAACATCGAGCGCTTACATGTTGCTTCATTCTATCTAAGTTATATAATAAACGAAAAAAGAAAGATAGAATGAAATTTACAGCGTAAACGCCCAAAGTGGGTGGATTCATACCTACGAGTATTATACGTTCCTAAGCGTCGAGTGACATTAGAACTGCACGCGGGCCGAAGAGATGAGAAGAGTAGCAAAAGGCGGAGCAAAGTCGAAAATCGGCCGAGAAGTGCAAATCATGCCTGATGAATAGATGCCTCTATTGCATAATATGCGATTTATTTATTCAAATTTAATTGAAGAGTATTATAATAAACAAAAAATAATGCGAATTATATAAAATGGAAGTTAAATGACATATAACCATCTAATATTTCAAAGTAAATGATGTATAACTTTGAAATGTCATTTCAAAGTAAAGTACGTGTATGTGTTTACTATTTATAAGTGTTTAATATCTATGTTGCATCATTCGCAAGATAATTTCTAGTTTCTATTAGTAATAAGTAGTGTGATGCATAGATTACACATTGCATATTTTACTTATGCGATATTAAAACATCGAATATAATATAAGATATCGAAATTGATTTACAATTAAAATTTATAAAGAAGATTAAATATTTACGAAATAAGAGTTGAATAACAACAAAATCAGCTTATTGTTATAGCTCGATTCACAATTCATTTAAGCATTTTCAATCTCGATTTTAGCAAAGAGTTCTTTAACGAATATTAAACGAATATTATAAAAAGAAAAAACGATTTATATTATGTATTCTTAATGTTATTACTTTAAACATCATTATTTATTAATATTTTTACATTGGCTACATGTATATCACATGCTTTTAAAATAGAATGCATGAATTTTGCGATTTAATATGTAAAGATAGATGTGTAATTTTTAAAATAATTTAGAAAAAAAAATAATAGAAAAATCAGATGTGTTATAACAATATCCATGCATGTATGTACGTAGATGCTAATGATCATTAATAATTATATCACATGTCGAATTAATAATTTTTTCATTATATATAAGTTGCTCAAGGACGTGAGAAATAATTTTTATTTTTTAAAGTATTATATTATTCCAGTCGACACCAACTGAATTAAGTAACATCAATGTAACTTATAGTTTATCACTGATTAACAAATATTATCAGTGGCACAAGAGCGTATTATTCATAATTTTATTCATAATTCTATTCATGTTAATTGTAAAATTTATGAATGTTAATGTTGGCAATACATCTTAATATTTTGAAGTTTGATTTACTATGACAGTTATAATCGGATAAAAATAAAATGAGTATAGCGTATACACTAGTTATTTCAAAGCAGTATTTTCGTGTAGTCGCCTAAAAAGACCAAAATTGTCGTATGCAGCTTTTGCTTGTTACATGAGAAAGGCAGCGTTCGGATTTGACCCTCACGTGCTGTAAGCTTTATTCTATCTTTATCATTACTCATTAAAAAGACTACATTAATAAGAAAGAAGATAGAATGAAGCTTACATCATGTGATCACGTGTCAATTGCGAACGTATAATAGTCTCAGCAATTCACAAAGAAGTTGTATATATAAATATACAACTATATATAGGAGAGCCAGCTAAGAATGCGTGAGTAAATAGAAAGAAACAGAAAACGAGATCGTCATTAGCACCCTTAGCTGCGATCGATTTAGATGCTCACGTGCTTTAAGTTGTAATAATTATTTTAACTTTATCGTTCATCAAATATGTAAAATAAGAATAGAAGTACTAAAAAGCGCTGAAAGCATCCAAATCGACCGCAGTTTTTGTTTAATCGCGCATGCACTGTTGATTTTCAGTGTTAAGTGGGGAGATTTCAGAAGAACAATATATCGATATTATCCCATTCAGCTTTCAAAATTTTATGCGCGGCGCAATTTAAACAAAGATAAAGATGGCCATCCCTAGAGAGAATCAAGGAAGAGTGGAGCGGATTCAACCGGAAGCCGCTATTTATATAATAGCTCACCGTTAAAGTGAATAGGAGATATGGTAGGAGCGTGATGAAACTATTGTACCGCAGTATTGTGTGTATGACATATATGTACATACACACACATGCACATTTGGGAACCAATCAGAGAAGAAAATCACTATCCATTCCATTCTCCCTTGATTCTCTCTGGCCATCCCGTATCGTTTCCTTTTCTACTGTCTAACATTTTCACTTACAGAGATCCTTATGCCTTGCTTAGTCTATATATACAATCTCTTTGGCAATTCGTGAAGTGAATGAAAAACAAACAAAAAGTGTTGACGATCTGCCTGAAAGAAGTCGGTAGCGCATTACGTTAGAAAGAGATAATAAAGTAATCAAGTTAAGATTTTTGAGAAAAATCCAACTTACGTCGAGTAAATAAAACTCAAATCATTTTTGAAGCAATTACATGTGGAAAAATGTTTACAGTCGAAAAATATACAATACGATTAATATTGACTTCAAAATCTGATTTTAATCTGATCGAAAATGTGTGTAGTCTATTATGAAGATCAATATGAGGGAAAAGTATGTTTTCACTTTGAAACAATTATCGTATTTGATCTGGAAATCACTTTCTAAGAGAAAATCTCATGGAAAGTATGCCTTGATATTGCCAAATCAACATGGAACAGGGCGACATATTAGGTAAATTTACGCATTAAAGCGTATATAATTCAAGATCATATATTTATTTTTCAAAAATCTTTTCCAGGAGAAACAGCTAACACGCTCTTGTGCCAATAACATTAGGGTGGCGTCCCATGATGCTTATTGCCGTACGTGTATTCGCGTATCAAAGGATCCGATTAATCACTGACATTCCCCCGTTTTACATACGCGACAATTTTGTTCCTTATGCTCTATGCAGCGAATCGCTAATCACATAATCGTTCTGTTAGATCTATTTATAGATTTTGCAAGCTAATAATTAGGAATGTAATACTAATTGTAATACACAAACTAGATTATTGGAATGCAACAACTTTCATCACCTCATATATTTCTTAACTTAATGTAAAAAATATTATATATAAAATATATAAAATATATATAAAAT